TCAATATTTTTGAATTTATATTTCAAAAACAATATGTTTCAAGTAAACTAATGAAAAAAAGTTGATTAGCGATATATACAACGATTTCCGTGTAATTAGATGATTTTATACAATTTTTATTAAAGATAATATTATTACATTAACGTATATTATTTATTCATCTTACGTATTTGAGAAATGAATGGTCATTTTTTATAATATAACTATATATTCATTTAATTAAAGAACGCATGAAGCGTGAAAGTTAATTTATATTATTTATCTACTTTTTTTACTCGGGTAAAAAAATAAAACAAATACTTTTTTCTAAAAAGATATAATATTAAATAATTTTAAGGTAAATTATTTACAAGAAATATACTTACGTAAACCCATTTAAAATTCCATTGAATTTTATTCACATTTTTTAAATTTCTTACATCGCACATATATACTAAATGATTAACAACACAGTGTCAATATTTAGTAAAAATGAATTTTTGGAAAAAGTCTTGTGAAAATATTTACTGTAAAAATATAATGTTACATGACTGATTTTAATAATAATTATTCATCTCACGCCAATTTACGATAAATTTTCTATCATAATTATATCTATGACATTCGAGTATATATATTGTAGTACGTTGTTTTGAAATACGTCGAGTCAACAAAAATTACTTCATATTTATAATGCACTAGTACTATTACATCTATTTGTCAACAGTAACAGTGATGTCATCATAATCATTGTTAATTTACTTTATGCTAATAAGAAAAATAACTTAAATACGTAATTTTCGATCACCATTTAATGGGCCTTTATATCCATTTTATATGTTAATTAGTACTGTAATAAAGAATTATGCAATTATAATTATTACGTAGTATTTACGTACCAATTAAAACTATTTGGATAAAATATAATATAATAAATTCGACATTGATGAATTTGAGATTGTCTAGTTGATAAAATAGTAGAAAGATGACTAATACTTGTTTAATAATTATCATATCAGTTTTTAAAGAATAAGTTCAAAATTGGTCGATGAAAATTAAGGAAATGTAGCTTACCTATGGATAATTTTTTGTCACTAGTTATTATTGTGATTAACTTAATATTTATGATACTATAACATTTTTAGCTTACCAATAATTTGTTGATTATTGTGATCTTCTGTGTAAATTTCTTAATAATAGAAAAACTTTTCTTTCTATCATACATATATTTTTTAGAGAAAAAAATGTTAATAATTAATTTTAATATTATCAAAATTACGAATTAACTTTGGTTTAATAAAGCAGAATAATGTAAATCTTATACAGATTTCTTGTTCTTTAGATATTAGATTTTGGTACAAACAGTCAAATCTAGAGATGAGGTAACACTTCTAACGACACAATATTGTTTTGTAAGTTATCAGTCAGTTATTTTAAGAACAATATTTAAAATATTTAATAATTAAAAGACTAAAAATTTTATTTATTAATTTAAATTGTTCATAAAATATTTATTTTACATTTGCTCTTTATTCTGCGTCCTTTTTTTCTCTGTGGTAAATTTGACTAAATCAATCATATATTATTACCCTAGAGGTTCGCCTTAAATTTAAAAATTGTTATAATTTTGTTAAATAAGGATGAAGGTTTTTTTCGTGAAATTTTTTTGTTTACAAATTGATAATGAAAATTGATTAATCAAAGAGTCAAAAAGTCAATACTATCTTCCTGTAGACGCCTATGTGTAATTGTAATACATTTTTGGAGAAAGCAATGGCAATATTAAAAATTATGACCGTAAGAAAAAATACTAAAGTTATTGGTTCAACATAAAAAAAATGAAGAAAAACATGTAACGAGAAATTCTAAATGATTATTTGGCCTAGAGTGGTAAACATAGGCAGAACTACGGACTGGGCCGACTGGGTCATGACCCCGGCTAATGATGCCCTTATTTTGAAACTTTTGTTATTTAATCTTTATTATTAGAAATATTTAACATTATTAGGATAATTTTAATGAATAAAAAATTAATTTCTAATTGTGTAAATAACTCCCTTCACAAACCTACAATAAATCAATAAATAACTCCATCACAATTACCTCTGTAGTATTATTTTGATATAATATGGTCTACTCTGGTGACCTAGGTGTAATAAAGGTCTAAATCACCTCAAGGTAAAAATATTTATGTTGCAAACAATTGTNTTATTTTGATATAATATGGTCTACTCTGGTGACCTAGGTGTAATAAAGGTCTAAATCACCTCAAGGTAAAAATATTTATGTTGTAAAAAATTGTGNACCTCAAGGTAAAAATATTTATGTTGCAAACAATTGTTTTCATAACTTTATGTATACATTTTTGGAGCCGTTCTTATATTTATAGTGAGACTTTTAATTGTTTACCTTCTTTAGAGTTAATTTTTACGAAAGTTTATAATAAAAAGAAGCTGAACACTTATTATAACAATTTTTGGCTCAACTTGAAAGTTTGAAATTGATATCACTAAATAGATTTTTTTTTGAGGATTTAAAAATGGTGTTGCTGAGATTGATATGTGGTCAGGAACTTATATAATTGTAATTGATAGAAAATTCATGAAAAACTCAACATTTTGTTAAAATTGCTATTTTTTGTAATTAATAATTTAAAAAAAAAAAAAAAAAAATCATAATAATCATTTCTTTGTAACTTTTAGTGTTTAAAAAGAAGTTGCAATTGAAATAATCTGATCTTAATTTATTTTTTTATTTTTCAAATATAATAAAAAAAAACACAGGTTAAAATGAAATTCAACAACACATCATATTTATGATTGATTATTAGGATGTCTAACTTTATAATAATTTTTAAATTACATAACAAGTAGAATGCATTATGTGCAGTAAATCAATTTGAATAATTAAAAATTAATTGAGATCTGAATATATCAATTTTAAGCACTAAAAGTTGTAAAGAAATTATTATATTTTATTTTGAGATATAATTACAAAAAATAGTAATATTAACATAATGTTAAGTTATTCATACATTTTTTGTCAATAGTAATTATATAAATTCCTGACCTCAATCTAAAAAATACCATTTTATAAATTCTTAATAATATTTACTATTATTTAATATCAATTTTAAACTTTCAAGCTGAGCCAAAAAATTAATGTAAAAATTTTTCCTTTTTTTATTATAAACTTTCATAAAAATTATTTTTAAAGGATCAAAAATAGTTTAAACAAGATATTTTAGATCAAAATTTTAGGACCATTTTAGAATAAAATGCTAGTAACTAAAGTTTTAACATTACAAATAAAATGATCATAGAAATTTTTATTTTATTTTAAGATTCGGGCTGATTGATAAACAATATTTTGTAAAGTAAGAATCTGTGTTGTATCTGATTATAATATCAATGGAGAGCTTGTTAATATCGGATTTCTTATTCATTTTAAATAATTGAAAATTAAATATCAAATTATTAAATTAAATTAAATTTCAAAAAAAAATTCATTTTTACTTCATTTCTTTGACTATTATAAATTGACTTTTAACAAGCAATGAATTTGCTCAAAATACGACTTGATTAGCAAGAATACGATTTTTTTTCATTAAAAATTAGACTGGAGAATATACGCAAGTTTCCACTACCAATTGACGCCCCTATTAACTAAATAATAATTTCAAAATAATTGTGTATAGAGTAAAAAACTTAAAATTTAGCGACTTGATATTGATTGGGTACTAAAAAATTTATCAATATTTCTATTAAGTGAATAAATAAAGATATTATAATTTATATACTATAATTTTCTCAAATTAAAAAAAGATATTGAAACTAATTTCAGTTTTTGGGCTAGTTGGTGTCAAATTATTGGCACTATATTAGTAATAATATAGAATATAATTAAAGTTATGCAATTAACGATTAAAATTAACACCACGGTGTCGTTTAAATGCAGCAACTTCTAGAAACAATTACTTTGCTGTATTGGATAATTTGAGCATAAAAAAAGAATTGTAAATAAATTAAAAATGGATATGAAAATAAACATGTTTTAGATTTTTTTATAAATTATTGCAACAGTTATAGCTATGGATCATAAAATGACAAAACGATGAACAAATTATTATTTTTTAAATATATGACGTTGATTATTAAAGAAGTAAACAATTTCGCGTTACCGAATTAATTAGTAATGGGAAATATCAAATAGTATCTATGGAGTTATTCGATATGTGTCCACTATTCGAACTATTCCATAGTCATTCAAAAAATATTCGATAGTTACACAATATATTCGAATAGTTTTTAAAACTATTCGATAGTTTATGCTAAAAATAAACTATTCGGTTGTATAAACACAATTCGAATAGTTATTCGATAGTTTAAAATATTTGAAAATGTCCATCTATAGTATTAATACATCCTTACAATATAAAAAATCGTGATCATTGGGTTTGATCAATACTTTTTATTGTTTTGTTAACAAGTCTTTACTTTTAATTAAAGTAAAAACAAAATTGATTAATTTTTTTTACGCAACATGTTTGATGATGTTTATAATAATTGGGATTAGTTATAATGTTTTATTATTGTACTTTATTTTTAAGTTTACTGAGAAAATACATTGTTTGAAATGGGTTCATTATTTTAGACAGCAGATAATTGATTGAAGGAAGATTTATAACTTATATTTTATTGTTCGGTTAAAAGAGAAAGATATTTCTTTATAAATAAGTATTTATTTATAAGCAGTGTTGTTAGTGAAACAAATGGATATAATCATAAGTAACCATATGAAAAAATCGAACCCTTCGCCTTTCAAAAAAAAAAAAAATAATTCAGTATCCGTGTTACATTATCTGTTTAGATTATACCTCTTATTAAAAAGCAAATATTAACGGCGAAGAGCATTCCAAACGAAAGTATTATACGAACAAGAATAACAAATAAAATAGTAGTTTTAGGTAGGGAATATTAGACATCTTTACAGTAGTAGCGGGTGTGATTATAGCACCCAAAGAAGAAAGTGACCAGTTTCCGACAGACGGCTGTACAGGTTAAAACTCATATGTTAAAAAACTGTGTTTTATTGTAATAGAATCATTTACGTCTATTATATCGTACGGTTAATTAAGTGTCAATATTAAATATATGTTATTAGAATTATTATTACAAATCATATTTTTGGTTTAATGTTTATATTGTTTTCAATTATTTGTAAGATTAGTATAAACTGGAAATGAAGACTTCAAGATAAATTTTTAACAATTAATTTTTTAAAGCATAATAACTATGTCTATGTCACATAGAGTTCTTCTACAGGTGAGATAATCATACAATATTTTTCTCCGTAATTAAATGTAATATTGAAATATTATTGTAGATGTAAATACATTTACAATAAAATACGTTGAATAATTAAGTTTTATTAATCAAGTTATCTCTCTTGAAAATAAAAATAATTGCACACTGAATCATATATTTTAAAGCAAGGAATAACATTAAAAGTAACTTCTTATTCATGAAATTGTTCTCATCACTTTCTTCAACTAAATAAAACTTTTGAAAATATCTTAATTTTTCATCTTCAAAGTGAGAACTAAACCTTAATTGTGAGGAACAACTTCTTTTTTATAACATTCAAAAACATACAGAAATAAAATAAAATAAATTATTTATAATTCCCAGTTATAAATTTTTATTAAAATATATTATAAAATTATTTAACATTTACATAAATAATATAATTTTTTTTAAATATTTCTGTGACCATATTTTAAAAGCTCATATGTCTATTTTAGTGAAGTTTTAAGAAATAAAATCAAATTTTTTTTATGTTTTTTACAAATAGATATTTTTGAAGTGCGAAAATGAACTTTCATGATAGATTTGAAATGAAACTTTTTGGAACACGATAAAAAACGTTTTTCTCTGTATGAATTATAAATAATCCCAAGTATCCGTTTTTAATTTTTAGCTTTTCAACATAAGCTATAGATTTTTAAATTCATAAATTCGCTTGTATAAGTATTTTAACTATTACAATAACGTGTGTAAAAGCATTTATTTATAAACGCGTAAAAGTATCAAACAATTTTACATAAATTAAAAATTATTATATTAAAATTTCAACCTATCTAAAAATTATCACTCTGATTTAATAATTCTTTGAAAAATAAAATTTATATATTTTCTTTGTGTAGTTTTAAACAAAATGTTGATTTTTATTCGAATTAAATTGCAACCCAAGTAATTCTCCACATCTATATAATAATTGATATTTCATTATTCTCCACTAGTGAAATTGGTGTCTTAATTTAATAATTATCAAACCTTAAAATATAAGTTACTTGTAAAACATGATTTTAAAGAAATTAAAAAAAAAATGTTAAACTGTAAAACATTAATTCATGTAAATTAAAAATATTTTTATTAATCTTTCTGACATATCATTTTTTTAATTATCATAACTAATTATATATTATTGTATAATTTATATAAGAACAAGTAAGTTTCTTTAGAATATTTTTGTTACATTATTACAGCAATGTCAAATACGGGAAGTGTCAATCTAATGTTAGAAAGAACTTCAGCAATTTGACCATTGTTAAATAATGTTTACAGGAAATCACACGATTTTCTCTTATTGTTTTTTCTCAGCAAGATCTTTTTCACTGTTCACATTATATCGTCTAGATCGCTATTGTTTCCACTAGCTTTAGCAATTTAACTAAATAATTTTAATAAGATATTAAATGGTATAATAGTCATTGAAGTACTTATTATATCACGGAGCACAGATGGGTGTATACAGATATTTACTAATATAGGTAACATGAAAACCTTATATATATTGTGTTTAAACCGTTGACGTCAATTATTCGTTTCAGTTCTGTGAATAATTTTATTCATAAAACACCATTTTTTTTTTTATTTTCATGATTAGCAAACTTTTAAGAACAGGAAAAATTGCATAAACTATAGTCTTAAAAAGTATGTCTAAATTTGTTAATAAATAACAAGTAACATCTTAGTAATCCATTAATAAACGTCCAAGATATAGTAATTTTTCTTATGTATTCAAGTTTAGTCTAATACAAATATTTTTAAAATACTTTAAATCTCGTTATGGAAGATAATTTAGGCGAAAGGATATCATTTTTTCATTTTTGTAAAAAAAAACGTTGATTGGTTTTTGGTTGAGAATTAAAATGTTTATTAAAAATTAAGTCTAAACATTGTGGAGTTTTTTTTTTTGAAAATTGTCTAAAAGTTTAATAAAATAATTATTTATTTTAAAGAAAAAACAAAATAGTCAATATAGTTTTCATAACTATAATAATAATATATTATGATATATTATTATTTTATTTAAAAAAAAATCATATTAATTAAATATAAATTAATAGTTAAACGTAATACGTAATATTAATCAAAATGTTTTATGTTAAATATTATTTTAGGTGTTTTTGCTGATCTGTTTGTCTTTTAATGTTATATGCATAAAAAATTTGGATCAGTCGAAACTTATAGCAGATAGACCTAAGAATCATAAGCCAACATCATTATGGGATTCCAGCTCAACAAATTTAAAATACAAGCAGACACATATTCCACCATATGCTGTAAAAATGGAACCTTTAGTTCATTATTCACAGCATGATCCCCTTTATACAAACTCTACTAATGTAGCATTAGACAAAGTAATTCCTGATAGCAGCGCAAAAGGTTCAGAACCTAGAATATCAACTGATTACGGGCCACCCGGTACCAATTATGGTGTACCTTTTCAACAAGATTATTATAAAGAACCAGAACCAATTATTGAGATAATAATTAAAGAATCAAATGAGTCACTTCCATTACCAGCTACTCCTCCTCCTACTCCTGTTACTCGGCCATCAAAAGAACCAGTTCAAGTGTTTTATGTAAAATACAAGAAAAATCCTAATTCTTATGGGAATAAAGAAGATGTTATCTATGAGGCACCAATTCCAGCAATAACTCCTAGTGCTGAAACAGAAAGTGAAACGACATACGCATCAGAAGTTGTGCCACAATATACATACGCAACAGAAGCTCCAGCTCCTAGTACAACTTATAGGACTATTATTAAGCCCGATTCTGAAATTTATCATGGAAGTGGCCTTAAAGTTACATTTGGCAAAACTGAACAAAAATGGAGCTCTACGTTAGACGAAGCTCAAAAAAGAGATTCGATTAGTGCACCGAGTGAAGAACAAAATAAGCTTAATACCTCTATCAAGGAACATAAAAGGAGTTATATTGAACCTAATATACAACATACTGAGTATCAGCGAATTAATAACTTTGCTTCAACACCACAAAATTCTAATCACCCTCTTCAAGGTATTCATCATTTGAAAAATAATTTAGATCAACCACAACAATTTAAAAAAACTGATTCATTAGTTCAAAATCTTTTTAGAGATCAAAATTCTCATTCAAGAATACAAGGTCATGAATCATCATTAAAACTGCAACAAAACAATTTTGAAGGCATTGTTGAACAAAGGCCGTTAGAATTCAACGAAAACTACAAACAACAACAATTTAATCAACATAACATCCCAGCGTTTCAATTAAATCCACCACAAATATTCACAGGCGTTCCTCAAGAAAGAGTCGTCCAGCCAAGTAAAGAAAACCAGTTTATAAATAAACCTTTTGAAACTCATCCATATTCCGATCAATCTTTTGAACACCAGCTCAATCAAAATAGACATTTGGAACAACACTTGGTTCAAAATAGACCATTTGAACAGCAGCCACCACCTTTTGAGCAACCATTTCAAAATAAACCAGCTATACAGCAGTCAGGTAATAATAGACCATTCGAACACCAACTCAATCAAAATAGACCGTATGAACAACATTTGATTCAAAATAGACCATTTGAACAACAGTTTGTCCAGAACAGACCTTTTGAACAGCTATCTATTCAAAATAGACCTTTTGATAATCGTCAAATACAAAATCATCCGATTATAAACCGGCCATTTGAGAATAATCTAAATATAGAAAGACCATTTGAAAACCGAACTCCTAATCAAAATATTATAAATTATAGACCACATAGTCCTCCAACTAACTCTCCAAGTGTACCGCCAAATTCGAATAATCCATTTGTACCAAGTGATAGACGTCCATTACAACCACCACAATTCGCAGGAAACTTTAATAACCAACTTGTCGGAACAAAACATTCAGTTGAATTAAAGTTTCTTCCACAACAATCAAATTTTCCATCAATACAGCCACAGCAATCTCAAATATTACTTCCGCAATTTACACAGGGTCAATTTCAGCAGCCACAATTCCAACAACCACTTCAAAAATTACAGTTTCAACAACCACAATTTCTTCAACAACAATTTAGACCTGAAGTTCGTAGACCTTTAAACAACAATTCGCCGACTTTTACACAACAACAAACAGAAAAACAACAATTTAATCCAGAAATCAAGACAGCTTTTACTCAAATACAACATCAATTTAATTCTGATGCGAAGCCAACATCAAGTCCACAATTTCAAATAACTCCTTCTAATGAGTATACTATTGATACTCATCAGCAATCAGTCCAATCAGGACAAATTAATGAAAATTTCAAGAAATATCAACATATGCAACCCGAACAAAACTCCTTTCGAACAAATAGTACTTGGCAAATAATAAATAGCCATCAAAGTTCTCAAAAAGTTCAAGATAAAGAATTTATTAGTCCAAGTACGATGAAAAGTTCTATAGATTTTACACACAAATCAGTTCTTAAAACTACTGAAAAATCTATATTATCACCTGTAACACCTCAATATAAAGACGTCACTACAATTGGAACATCACCTAAACCTGTTACTCAAGAAGTAATTAAAGACGAATCAAAGAAAACAGATAGTAAAAAGGTTGCTGTACTTCCTGATGAAGTCCCAGACGAATTACGAGAACAATTACTTTCTTCTGGCATATTAAGCAATGCTGATATTCAAATATTAGATTACGATAAAGTTGGTGATATACCTATAGAGAGTTTACCTCCTGAAGCTCTAGAAAATTTATATGGTAGTCAAGGTCAAGCAAGTGATCCAGTGCCATCAATAGCACTCCCTTTAAACAGCACTAATGTTCAAATGAAAATTATTAAATATGACCCAACAACTGAAGAAGGAAAAAATATTGAAAATAAATACATGGACCGACCAAAAGCTCATACACTTGATCCAGTCGTTTTAAATGACACCGGATATAATAGATTTTTACCACTTAATATTAATGGTTCACAATTTCCAATACCAAACTCGCCGTTGTTGAAAAACAAGGCAATCGGAAGTGTTGTTATTCTATCACCTGTAGCATATGACTTGTCAGATGAACAGACTAGATCGTCTAGAAATACTGCTGTTCAAGTGAAAGGAGTTCATTTTATTGTAGGAGATATTGTAAAGAACCTTGTCAAGGACCCAAGCAGACGTAATTTTGAGACATGGTTACAGAAAGAGAAAATGACACCAGCTAACGAACAATCAGTAATCCTGCTGGTTACTAAGTAAGTCATATATATATATATATAGATCTTTATTTGATGTTAAAAAAATCTTGGTTCTTTATATATTTTAATATTTTTTTAAACAAAATTTTAAGCAAAATTAAAAACTACAACATGTATTGATTTTTCAGACCATTAAATAAATTAAATGGAAAAGAGATTTACATGTATGATGTGACACATAATCGGGTCAGCAAATTATCAGGCGATTTGAGTGCGACTTTTGTAAATGTTGCCGAGTCTAATTCTCAGAGTCACGATTTGGATAATTTATCATCTGACCAAGAAGTAGACGTCGTTGTGTCTGGAAATAGAGCAAAAGAAGATCCTCAGGTTGTATCCGGTTACAGCAGGATGAACAACTTCTCGAGTAAAAGGAGAAATGCCACTAGCAATAATTAGACTGATCTAAAAAATAGATTGTACTTAAAAAATTATTTAATTATATGATTAATAGTAAAAGTGAAGTCGATAAACAAAATATTTAAAACTCAATTGTTTTTCAGCAATTCTCATTTATGAAAATAATTGCTCTTCGTCTATTTTGTAATATTATTAATTCTAAGCAAAAACGATTATAGTATTAAATAAGTAAATTCTACCGATGTTTTTTTATGTGTTAATTTAAATATATTAACACGAATATTATTATAATTTTATATGTTAATATAAAACAAAATTTATAAAATCTATGTTGAATGTCAATTATCAATATTATTTTTTAATGGAAATAAATTGTTTATTTATTAAAATAATGTCTTAAGCTTAAAAAAAAATGAACATTTTTCTTTGCTCATAAACTAAACTACGCAAACTACATCACAATTAAAAAATAAGTAAATAAGCATAGTACTATGCTCAATTTCATCTGTAAGTTATTATTATATTGTTATAAAAAAAAACAGCACAGTGAAGACGTGGCACAGTTGAGTCCAGTATAGATGATATCTGACAATGATTAAAATTACTATCATAAAAAAAGCTTCGATGCAAATCTGTAGATAATCTTTAATTTTAAGAAATTGGTTGATTATTTTTAAAGCAAAATTAACTCCTATTTCTATCATTATTTCTAATTAGAAGTTGATTAATAAGTATAATTTATGAATAAATATTTATTAGAGCAATTCAACGTAGTATGAAATTGATATTTTATAATTTAGTATTGTAATTTTTTAGGAGAATTTATAAAAAAATAAAAACTAGTTATAATTTTAAAGGCAAACGTGTATAAAAATTGAAGGACTTGACACAGAATTTTTTGGATAATAATATGTTGTTAATTATGAATAAATGGTCTGAAAAAAATTTTTATTAGAGTAAAAAATATACTTTTTTTAATCAATGTTTCATGTTAATTTCAAATAGCATTTATATTTTTTCCATCACTAATAATTTTTGATATTATTATTAATTAGTTAAAAACTATAGGATATAACTATAAGGAAAATAGTTCTGAATATATCTATTGTATCTTCTATTTAAACACCAAGAGTTACATAGAAATTATCCATTTTTCTTTTGAAATAATTTATTATGATAAAAAAATAATTAAAAACACAAAACACACATGATTTTTAATATTTTAAAAATAATTTGTGTAAAATATCATTTTTAACCTATTTTTTTGGTTATTTTTTTAATCGATACAGTGGAAATTTTTTCAATTTTTGAGGGTAATATCTTTAATTAGATAATATTTGTGATCATTTGATGTATCGATAAAAAAAGTTGATCAAATGAGAACTGAGGAAATAAATGAGAGCCATAAAAAAAAAATCACATAGTATAAAAGAAACCATTAGTATGAGAAAGAAATTTCTTCAAACGAGGGAAGACTACAGTTATGGGGTTTTTGATATTCATTAAAGTTATTAAATCTAAGTGAGATAAAAATCAAGTGAGTTAAAATTTTTTTCGAACTCAAAAACTTTGTAAGGTATTTTAAAATAAAATAAAATATAAAATCGATAATTTTAACACAAAAATACTGTAGCTATTTTTACCACAAAAATAAAATAAAGTTCAAATTTTTTTTTTCATAATAAAATATATTACATAAGCTTTAATTTAAGATATATATATAATATATATATTATATATATATATAAGTGTCAGTATTTTTGGAACACTTTCAAAAGTTAATTTTTTGTGAAAAAGTTGTCATTTTTAATCTCTACCTGCGGGCAGATAAAGGGTCACATTTATAAAAAAATATACAAAATAATAGATAATTATCTCTTGTATCATTAAAAAAACCCAGCACAGTGGGGTCGCGGCATAGTGGGGATGTTGCATAGTTGGGTCCAGTATAGATTTAATCTGACAGTGATTAAAATCACTATCATAAGAAACGCTTCGATGCAAATCAGTAGATAGTGTTTAATTCTAAGAAATTGGTGGATAATTACAAAAGCTACATTATCTGCTAGTTTCTTATTAATACCCTGATTAAGATAAAGTATGTCGAATGAAAAAGGGATTATTAAAAAATATTATTTCTCATAAAAAAATNTTTCATTTTTGAAAAAGTTATGGCAGTTTTAAGTACAAAAAAACATCCCGATAAAAGATAATTTTTATCGCAAACATTACATTTTTTTTTAATTTTCGACAGCCATTTGCACATAGAAGACAAGATGTCGGGAAAAAATTTTTTTTTTCATTTGATAGTATATAACATAACCTTTGATTTGATATATGTTTAAAGGACGCAGTATTTCCGGAACATTTTCAAAAGTTCAGTTGAAAAAGATCTATGTTTTTTACAATATTTTAAGTTTTGAACGCCCCCTATATAAGGGGAAATTGTCCAATTTTAATAAAAAGTATGTCAAATGAAAGATGTACTTATAATGTATTTAGAAAAAAAAAATTTGTGCTGATATATACATTTTTCAAAAAGTTATAGCATTTTTAAGTTGAAAATTTAAAATCGAAAATCGAAAATTTTAACACAAAAATAGTGTTTTTTTAACTACGGCAGCCGTTTAAATGTAGAAGAAAAAGTGTCGGGACAAATTTTTTTTTTTCATTTTATAGTACATAAAATAAGCTTTAATTTGATATATGTTTAAAGGACGCAGTATTTCCGGAACATTTTCAAAAGTTCAGTTGAAAAAGATCTATGTTTTTTACAATATTTCAAGTTTTGGACGCCCCCTATATAAGGGGAAATTGTCAAATTTTAATAAAAAGTATGTCAAATAAAAGATGTATTTACAATGTATTTAGAAAAAGAAAATTTGTGCTGATATATACATTTTTCAAAAAGTTATAGCATTTTTAAGTTGAAAATTTAAAATCGAAAATCGAAAATTTTAACACAAAAATAGTGTTTTTTTAACTACGGCAGCCGTTTAAATGTAGAAAAAAAAGTGTCGGGACAAATTTTTTTTTTTCATTTTGTAGTACATAAAATAAGCTTTAATTTGATATATGTTTAAAGGACGCAGTATTTCCGGAACATTTTCAAAAATTAAGTTGAAAAAGTTAATTTTTGTAAAAAAGTTGCTATTTTAAATCCCCCCTAATGAGCAGGTTAAGTGATAGATTTTCAAAAAAATGATATCAAGTGAAAGGTAAATATCTAAGGTTTTAGTATAAAAAAAAATTATGTTGATTTGTTGATTTTTCAAAAAGTTATGGAAGTTTTAAGAAAAAAAAGTGAAAAAATTTCGAAAATTAGCGATTTTTTAATTTGTAATTTTTTTGGATATTTCCCTCATTTGAGGGGAACGAGGGAATTTTTTTCAATTTTTAAGGGTAATGTCTTCAACTAGATACGATTTGTGATCTTTTGACGTATTTTTGAAAGAAATCGGTCCAGTGAGAGCTGAGAAAAAGTGGCAACAGACATAAAAAAAAAAATTAAAAATAAAGAAAAAAACACATAGTAAAATTAATACCTTCCCAGCTTCGCATCAAAGCTAAAATTGTTTATCAGCAGAAAAATGATATACAAATCAGTTCATATCAATAAATGTGGTATATTTTCCCATTAGCTTAGAACAAGAGTAATTTTGCAAGTTATGACAATGGGGCTATCCTAGAATTAAATTTTAGGGAGAGAGTGTAGAGTGAATGTTAATTGTTGGTAATACATTTGCCATCTAAAGAATCTTAAGTAGTAAAAAAATCCATAAATCCATATATTCTAAAAATGTCGTCCTCAATGAATGTTTATAGAATGTGACACCTCCCTCAACCACTATGAAATTGCTACTACTAAGAATAATGTCTATTGACCATTAAATATTTCAATACATTTAGATGTAACGTTACTGCAATATCAGTCCATTTGGGTTAACTAAATGAAATTTTTAAAGAATATTTTTTATAAAATGATTTTATATTTTTTAAAAACATAAAAGCACTTTAAGTTAAAAAAAATAATGTGAGATTTTTAATATTTGATACAAGAAAAAATGTAACTTAGATTTGCTTAATGGACGATTGTAACAATTTTGAGAAAAGATACATTTACAATTTTTGACCTCTTAACAACTTAACCATATTTGTATGGACAAACTAAATATATATTTAACTAAACTATTTTGAATTATAAGAAAAAAATTAGGATATTAAAATAGATATGTTTCATGAAGCATTTATTTTTATCTTGTAATTTGAAGAAGATTGAGTAAAATTATAACTATAAACTTGTAACATTGTTATATGCTATAGACTAGAAAATGACTCTCAACAGCATAGAAAAATGGTATGAGTAATAATTACGAACTTAACTCCTAAAAACTCATTAGTAGATAACTTAACGTACTATAATATCTAACGAGTATAATTTTTCAAATACAACTAAGAACATAACCTAAAAACAAACGGGGATAGATAAATTATAGTTTTATCATACGATAATAAATAATTAATAACATCACTCTTTAAAAAAGTAGTAAAGTAGTGGGGATAAGCTCGGGGTATCTCATCGATGTTTTGTGCACATGACCCGTACAGATATCTCAAACATGGCCGACCCTATTGTTTTGATTGCATGTTACTAATTGTTAATAATTTTTTCTCTTATAACTATACTAATTTAATATTTTATTAAATCTAAATTTTTAATTAATATTAGAAATAAAAGTTAATGTTTTTTTTTCATTTGACTATAAGCTATAATGTAAAATACTGGAGTGTTACCGGCTGCCTTCAACGTCTCATGACAATTTGGGTAAATCTTATCACAATAATAATGTTACTATACATTTAAAAAAATTCTTTATGACAATTTTTAAATGAAATTAAAATTACATTTTATAGTTTTTTATTATTTATTATTGTAAATATTTTTTTAGTATTATTAAGTAATTATGAAATAATATACCATTAGATTAGGATTTCTTTGATTAAATTATTGTTTTTCACAAAAAAAAAAAAAATTTATATTTAATGAGATTTTATATTTATATGACTGTGAAATCCTATAATTCCCAATTTTCAATTTTTTAAAATTCATTTATTGTTAATTAAATATAATGCTTAAGATAGCTAAATTATTACTTCATATATTTTTGTTAATAGAGAATATTTTTTTAATTTCAATTTACATAGTATCTTATAAAACCTTTAAAGAATTGTTTTTTATACATTTAAATTGTTAATCAATACTATTACTATTAAGATTTTACTAAGTACTATTAAAAATTAAAATTCATTATTATTTTTAAATATTATTTAGCTATTAAAATATGTGTAATAGTATTTATCTTAATTTAACTAACTCATAAAAATGTATTTTTTACAGACTGCTATAAAATGGATAACTCTGGACATCATTCGTCGGGTATTAAAAAACGTTCTATTGATGATATAATTAATAATATAACCTCAGATCTTCAAAGCTATGAAGGGCGCTACATGGTTTTGGGAAACCCCAGACAATCAACTGATTTTATGTGGCAACAAGTAAATAATTATGCAATGCCCCAACAACCTAATATTTATAATCCTGAACCTATTAATATGACAAATAATAATCAATATCTTTTGAATACTAATCAGTACAATCCATACATTCAAACTTCACAAACTTCCATACCTCCTGGCTTTTTAAATTATGATAATCAATTATATTCACACCATCACCATCACTCACATCATTTTCAACAACAGCAACAACAACAACCACAACAGATACATCCTCCACAACAACAGCAATTAAATTATACTTATTATCAACAGTCACAATATACAGGACATCCAGTCTCTTATCAAACTCCTTCATATGGTCTTTTTGATGCTCCATGTAATGATGCACTAATTGAGAACTTAGTGCAAAGTTGGAGTCAAACTCAAAATGGAGGTGTTTTCAGTCCATTTGGTAACCAAGCATTTCAAACATCAAAAGAAATAGAGAATTCAACAATTCATGAGAGTGAAAATATCATGCATAACTCTCTACCCTTAAACCATAAAACAATAGTCACACCAGTTAAAAAAGTTCGAATGGTTGCAGAAGTACGCCCCATGCGACCAAGTTATTCTGATGTTTTAGCTAAATCTCCAGCTAATGGACCAATAAAAAAAATAGCAGCTTGTACACAAGTAGATAAATCAATAGATATAAAAATTACTCACAAAAGTAAAACAACTGTCAAAAAAAAGAAAAATGCCAATAAAGTTTCAAAAGAAGAATGCTGTTTAAAAAGGCAAAATTCTTCTGCTAGCAGTGAAGAACGCAATATAAATTCTGAATTTAAAGAAGATAAGAAATTTGAAGTGTCAATTAATAATAGTGATAAAATATGGACTTCGTCGGAAGATTTAAATGGATCTGAATATTATGAAGCTGATGAAAATGCTTACAATAATATTCAAGTTCCAAATATCAAAGAAAATAGTAGAAAAGAAAAAGTTAAAATCAAAACTAAAACTACTCCTAAAAAATCAGGTATAATTAAAAAAAATGTAGCACAATAATAAGATAAAAAAGAATTGATATAAATATTCAATATTTGTTTCTCAGGTAATAGTTTAAAACTTCATAAAGAAAATATTGATAAAATAAAAGTAAAAAAATGTATTAAATCACACAATATTAATAAAAATATGAATAAAGAACAATCAAACAAAAATTTCAATGAATTTAATCGTGAGTATAATTTATGATTTATTAAGAAAAAATAAGGTTTTAATAATAAAGTTTTTAATGGACTATTTTATATTTGTAACTGTTGACAAAGTCTCCTTCCGTTATTTTCTACAAAAGACAACTGTTAGGTTTTGAAATGATTTATAGGATAAATATAAATTTTAATGTAATAATAATATAAGTAAAAATAATACTAAAAAAATGTCATTTAATAGTTTAACTTATAACTTCAAATCCTCAAAATAAACTTTAAATTTATAACAGATATGTTTTATGTAATCCATATTAAAAATTGAATAGATCTATGAACTTGGAATCTCTATAATAATAGTTCAAAAAAGAAATAAATAATCAACCTAAATAGATCTGTCTCCCTATTTTTCCTTTACATTTCAACTGTTTTAAATTATTTTTAACATCTTGAAAAGTTGGATGTAAGTATAATTTAAGCCGCTATACCTTAAGTACTTCAGTTGTAATAATTTTAAATGTGCATAGAAATTTTGTTGAGAGGTTAGATAAAAAGAAGTGGCAAACATTGTGTGCTCTATATAATCATTTCCCTTATCCAAATCAAAAAAAAATAATAGAAGCAACCAGAAATTATTTTTTCCTATTGCTTATATCTTATAGAGAAATGTGGTTATCAAAAATCATCCAGGTCATTTGTAGATAAATTTGTTGTATTGATCATTCCTTTACTACTATTAAGTCTATTATATATTATCTAATTTTTTTAAAGTATTTGTATCATTATGTAGCAATCTAGAAGATCCTACTTAAAGTCAATTGCTAAAATATATACTGTAAAGTAGAAAATTTTTACTATGAATATTTAAGATCTGTCATAATTTTTTAATTTGCTTAGTTTTTACTTAGATTTTTTAAAAGTATGAAACTTACTTTTTTATTTTTATTTAAACTCTTAATTATTGTGACATAATTATTTATATATTTTTTATTTAAAACTATATGTTGTATTTTAGTGATAAACAATGAAAATAGTATTGATAAACAAAACGACAATGAAAAATTATCTGCCAAAACATGTTCAACTCAACCACAACAACAATCTAGTAAAAATCAAGGATCACGCAGTACAGCTACATTTACTGCATTACCTTTTAAAGCTAGATATCAACGAGGAGTTAAGAAACGGCCCCGTAACTCAGCAATCAATACTTTGAGTAAAAGAGATCTTTTATAGTTAATTTAATTTAATTTCATAAATATTTCATGATTTTTAGTTACTAAACCCTTCAGTTATTTAAAAGCACAATTTATTCAGTATGCTCCAATGATGGTCTTTTGGTTTATTCATCTATTGTGGGATGTAGTTACTATGAGTATTCATCTATTAATTCATTTGTAAGTTTTTGGATATTTAAATTATTAATTAATTGTGACACGGCTTGAAATGATTAATTTTAGAAAAATAATTTCTATTGAAAATAAACTTAATATAATTAAAATGCAAATTATACTTTATTATTGTTTATTAACAATAAGATTAATTATATATTAATAGGTCAGTGTCAGGAGTTACACAGTTGATTGAATCATGTCAACTTTTTTGGAATAATTTCTGTATTAGTCTTAGTACACCATTTTCAAGTGCTTCAAATTGGGCACGTGTGAGATGGAAAGATCCTCAAACTGGTAATACACTTAATACAAATATACCATTACCAACAACTGGTGAAGAAGCTTTAAAAAGATTGATAGCTTGTAAGGGCAAAGATCCATACAGGTAGTTTCAAACATAATTTTATCATTTCAATATATTTTAACTTGATTAATATGTATATTTTAGTATTTTGGGTGTAACTTCTGACTCCTCAGAAGATGAAATAAAAAAGTATTATAAAAGACAAGCTGTTCTTGTTCATCCTGATAAAAATAATCAATCAGGAGCTGAAGAAGCATTTAAAATTTTAATTCATGCCTTTAATATGATTGGAGACCCAGTATGAAGCCTTAAAATATTAAATTTTAGTTTATTCTTGATTAATTATATTTAAATTTATTTTAGGAAAAACGTAAACTATATGACAGTGGGATTGAACATATTAAAGAAAATTATGATGAATTAAATACATTGTTGAAGAATCTTCATGAAAAGATGGCGCAAGTTGCTAACACAATTAGGTATTTTATCAAATATTAACTATTGAATAATATTTATATATATATAAATAATAGATATATTATAATAGATGCACAAGCTGTGGAAAAAGACACAAAAGAAAATTAGTATCGTGTCGTCCTATGTATGCTGCAAGATTTTGTGCTTTATGTAATGTTCACCATTCTGCTCGTGATGGTGATATTTGGGCAGAAAGTAGTATGTTTGGCTTGAGGTGGAAATATTATGGTTGTATGGAGGGTGGTGTGTACAACATTACTGATTGGGCCACTTGTCAACATAGTAGTTTGAAGCATATGAGAGCTGATACACATTCTGTACAATATAGAATAATATTTGGAGGTAAACAACAGACACCTGAACCTACAGTCTCTCCATCGCCACCTTTACAACCAAGAACTCAAGCACCACCTCCTACTCCATTATTTGAGTATGTTCACTAAATAAGTATATTGATATTTTAATTATACTTTATATATTTAATTTGGTTCTAGTTTTAATCAACCTCATTTGGATGAATTTTTGAGTTCATTTTACCAACATCGTGTACCAGGTTCAACCAATAATGGTGAGTTTGGAACAGATATTCCTCGTCAACGCACTAAAAATAAAAGAAAAAAATAATTTGTTAAGTTATTTATCTAAAAAAAAATCTATAGACATAAACTAATAATTTTCTAACAATAAACTTATCTTCAAATTAATGTATAAATTTATAATTTTTGTTTTATCTTTCACTTTAACTTCGTCAATTTGACTCTTTTCATAATATTTTTCAAAGTATTCACTTAGAATCAGAATAATTTTCATTTTTAGTAATGTATGATGTTTTACTGTTTACTAACAATATCCCTTTACCAATGTTTAAACATATTGTTTTTTTTTTTAACATTATTTAATTGATAATATACTTTATTAATTAAAGTTTCCTTTTAATTTAACTGATAACCTAATTTAAAATTAGCATTAGCTTAAATACTTCAAAAGACGTTTTCATTTGTGTTTTTTTAATACAATTAGATGAATGTATAAAATAAAAAAATATTTTCAAAACTTTTTGAGTTATTATTTACTACATTTACTTAGTTATTTACTAAGATAAAAAGACAACTCAGAATCAATTACTGAAATAGAACTGATTAAAATAGCCTAAGCACTAATTATATAAAACCAAATTAGTGCCTTTAAAAAACATCTACCTCTTCTAATAATAGTAGAAATTTAAAAAAAAAGCTGTTTAAATAATTAAAAAAATGTACTTCAGTTATTTTTTTAATTAAATAGAATAATTTTTTTTAATTACTTCATAACTTAAGAAGTAATATCTAAAGCAACAAGTAAAATTAAAGAACTCAAAGAATTTATTATACGCCTTATCTTTAAATTTTCCAAAAAAATCTTAAGTAGCATTTAATATAATTTGATTCAAGAGTGTTATTTCACTATATAAAAATCACAAATTATTTAATTAAGTAGAGTTTGAATTTTAAAGTTCATAAAATATGATATTTTTATATTTGCTCATTTTTATCAAATGGACACACTAACCTTGATACCTTTTTTTACAATTTTAATATAGGACGAAAATAACAAACGTTTTTACTTAAATTGTTTTTTGAAATTTTTTATACTCGACCACTTATTAAGTCTAAATATTATTAAGCATATTAAATATGCTTAATTTATTAATACATATTTATCATGTAATAGGAAGAAAACATTATATAACATGTTTTTTTTAACAACCTTGTTAAAAAATATGTGTAAATTTAAATTTGGTATAAAAACAATAGAATTAAAATTTGATTACTAATGTGTTATAAACAATGTACAATCATTTTTAATGCAATAAAAAAATTAAGATAACAGGAATAATTATTTCATAAAAAACATCAGTACAATTACCAAACAATAAATAATAATAAATGTAAACTAATGTTACAAAAATTTTGTTTGAAAATAAAATTTAATAAATACTGATTGAATATAAAAACAATAATTCTATATTAATTTATTTGGAATACACATTTATAATAAGCATCTTACATTAAATAGAACACTATGTATTTTATTAATCACAGCAATTTTTGGTGCATATATTTTTTTTAAAGCATAGATCCATAAATAATTTTTTTTTTTTATAAATTAATGACACTATGAATAACGAATTGTAAAAGAACTAAATGATAACTTGAAAATTTTAAACTTAAGACCTAAATTTTTAGGATAATGTAATAGCTTGAGTTACAAATTTAACATAATTTTAATGCTATAATACTTATAAAGAGTATCATAAATTATAGTATATTACATCACTGATGTCTTTGAACTTTTAATTGAGATTGAAGAGTAGAAACAAGCTCTTCTAAATCCCGTATTCGACGATCTCTGTGAGCCATTTGTTTTCTCAGCATATTTAACTCTTCACATTGTCGAGCAAGAGCCTTCTTCATCTACATCAATAGATAATTTAAAATAAATATTACTTCAATGTTAATTACTATAATTTATTATTGTACTTGATATTCATTTTTTTGTAAATAAATTTCTGATACTTTGACAGTAGTATTGCTTTCTTCTTTGTCTACCTATAAATAGAAATTTATTAGCTTAAAGAATAAGCTAACGACTTATCGAGCTGTCAAAACTTAAACTCAATAAAAAATGTAAATAACTTGAAATTTCTATAAATTATACATTTAAAGTGTGTCCTAAAAATAATGAAAAAATTGTAAACAAACATGAAAATGTATATATTTTTTCAAGATGTGATATGGAAAATGAAAATTTTGAACCAGTAGTTATAGAAATATCTCCAATATTCTGACACTTTAGCATCTTTAACAATAATTGAACAAATAATTATATTTATTATAATTATTATAAATTAACAAAAGTTCACTAAGTAGTTTTTAAAATACAGGCTTAGTTTGATAATACAAAAAAAAAGTATCATTTTAATTATATTAATTAAACACTATAATCCAACAATTATTTAGTTATATTTTATATATAGTATTAAATTATTTTATATAAAAATTAATACCACAGAGTTTGACAACTTAAGTTGAATCTGTTGAAATCTAGTATTTTGATTTGATTGTGTCTTTTGTACTTTTTCATTTTCAAGTAACATCTAAAGAATTAAACATTTTCGATGTATAAGATAAATAAATAAATACTAGGCTTCACGTAGCTGGAGTCCTACAAGCCTCAAACGCCTTTAGCGTGTAAGCCTCTTTAGGCCATCATTGTAAGTAGGCCACTGATTCGGGTAGGAGTACCAGGCTACGCTACGCACGATAAGTGTTTTGCAGGAAAAATATTACATCAGAATCGGTAATAAAAATATATTAAAAATTTAATTATTAAAATCAGGATAATTCAAAAAGAGAATATAGTATAATATTGGGTATAAGGTTGACACAGCGTACTAACTCAATTAATTCTATATGACATAGTGAATAATATAAAATAGTAAATACAATAAATGAACTAGTAACTGCAGAAAGGAGATAAGTTCAATTTAATAAAAAAAAATTTTTAATTACCTTATATTGAACAATAGTAAATACATTGTTTAATTGAAAAAAGTAGTAAAAGATGAGCGTCCAAATGTTTAAAATAGTATTTTAATGTTACAATTTACTGCAGAAATATTATTATTATACTTTCCAATTTTAGTTATTTAATATTAGAGTATATCTAATAGGAATTATTATTTTCAACTTATTACATTTAATTTAAAGATTACAGAATGGTCATACATAGCATAAAATAATGATTAATAATAAAATTTTGAACTTTTTTATAATAGTATAAAAATTACTTTACAATGTTTCCTACAAAAGGAACATAAGTACATGAATTATATATATTAATTAAAGATACATTATCAATATATTTCCTTCTAAATTAAATAAAATATATGGAAAATTAAATTTAGAATATAAATTTTGAAACATTTACTATAATTTATCAAATCATATACAGTTTTTAATTTTTTTTTTGAAAACTTTAAAGTTGAGTTGTTCCTTTCTGCAGTTAGAGATAAAAATATATAATACAAGTAGATTAGTTTATCATAATTTATCAATAGTTGCAATAAATAATAGTAGTAGTTGCAAGTTTAAATATAAAAATATTAATAAAGAAAATGGTATTTATACTCAAAAAATAATAACAACGTAAATTAAGAATACATAACTTAAATAAATACAGTAATAATAGTAAAAAAAAACTAGATTAATTTAGATTGACTTACATCAAGTGGCCGATAATCTGGTACTGTTTCCTTAGAAAGAAATGCATACTTCATTCGATAATTAGTGTCATTGCGAGTTGCTTCATTAGAAACAAAAGCTTGAGGTTTATGAGTTTTTACAGATATTCCTATTTAAAATATAAGTTTTATAATATTTAATACAATAAAAACTTACTGATGGTTATTTTTCTAAAACATCTCAAAAATAAAAGTGTGCCCCAATATATATTTACAATTCATTTAGTATTAATATTATGTCATTTTTTTTATTTTCTTATACTATAATATAGCATATAATAATAAATGTTACACGACAAGATTTTTTTAGTACTACAACAAAACAACATAAGAATCTTATTGTAAAATTTTACAATATTAATAGTAATATATTAGAAAAAATAACTTTTTTAAAAATAGTTTTTAATTACTTAATAACCAAAAAGTACCATATATATCGGTATGCTAAAACAGAAATTCAGCTGTTACTCAAAAACTGATGGTTATGAAGTTACCACAGTAGAATGGTAACTTTAATTATGTGCATTATTATTTATGCATATGCTTAATACTTAGATACTTAAATTGAAAGTTCTTAATTTTTTACCCGTTTTCATTGACATTAAAACTGGAGGCTTATTTATTCCACTAAACCATTCTTGGGCATTTAAAGCTGGGACAGGAGCATTTGTATCAGGATATAAATCATGTTGATACTGATCACTCTAATAAATAATGAAAATTATAAGACAATTTTTAAATTAATAAAAAATCTTTTGAAAATTTAATGAACATTATTATCATACTTTTCGTGGTACTATCATAGATATTGGTTCACAGACATTTCGTGTAGTATGCAGTTTATAAAATCTCATTATTTCACAACGACTCACATTGCAACCTCGTTTAACCATCATCCCAAATCCTTTCTAATTAGTAATAATAATGAAATATTAAAAATATACATGGAGAAATATATTTAACATTAATATAAATGAAAATGGAATCAACATACTTGTGGGCAACCAGATATGAACTGGTTTAAAAAATGTATGTAAGGAAATTCATCAACAATTTCATAATACCTCATATTGCCATCTCCCTTAAAAAATTATAAACAGTGAATATATTGTAGTATTAAATCATAACACATTTCAGCTTAAAAATACTATAATTTCAATATTTATTAGATATTTTTAAAATGAAATTTTGTAAAAAAATGTGTAAAAGTATAATAGAATAAATTACAAAATAAGAATTTAAATAACATATAACCTGAATTTATAAATAACAACTAATGATCACTTTTTTATGTATTAATATTCACTTTGAAAAATTATGCACTAGATTAATTAATAAATTCTTTAAGGTTTTCTTAATTTTTATGAATTAAAGAAATAATGATTATATTTAAATAATTTAAAGTTGAACATTCAAGGTATTGTCTTTAAATTATAGTAAAAAAATTAAGCTCTAATTATTAATCAGAAATTACTTTTCCAGCAAGATAAACAATTTTAGTGTCATAATCATAATAAGGAAATAATATCCCAGAAGAGGAATCAACAGTTATACGATTTAATGGTTCAGTTAAATCAGTGTGATTCCATATAGCAAGTTGTCTATCAGAATACGATGAAAAACCAGTGGTTAATATTCGGTCATTATCTAAATATACTGCTTTGCATGATCGTGATCCTTCATGACAAATCCCTTCCTATAAAATTAAAAAGAATAAATCATTATTCATCATTAAAATTAGCTTAAAATCTACTTACTGAAATAACTAAACCTGATCTAGGATCAATTGCTCTTATTTTCTTATCCTTACAGGTTGATACCAATCTACTTCCATCTCTATTAAATGTAATTGAATAAACAATATCTGGATGACAATCTATAAAATTTAATATTTGACCAGATCCTGCATCCCAAATAATAACCTGTATTTAATTATGAAAATAGTGTATAAATTTTTATTTCAATTAAAATGAAACATTCATAATTTAAAAATGTGATTAATATTTATTGATGAAATACAGATGTTGCTTAAATATTTTTACTAGGAGAGCAGTAACATATATTTCAGAAATTTGAAGCAATATGTATATATTTCTCTAGAATCATATATAAAGTGAGATTTCAAAAATAGTTTTTTGCAGGGAAATATTTCAGTTAAAAATCTATAAAGGAAAATTAATTCAATATTGATTGATGAAATTATAAATAGTATAAGTTGTACATTGCGCTATAATTATACTTAAAAATATTTAGATTCATAATAATTCCATAAGTGTACATGTTAATGAATAGTAATATGCATTTATTGAAAGTAAAATTATTAATTAAAATCATTTTAATTTAATTTTCCTAAGATATATAGCAAATTATATCATTTACTTGGTAATCAAATCCTGAACTTGCTATTATATTTTCTGCAGTTGGATGCCATTCAATAAAACCAACCCTTCGTCTATGACCACGTAATTCTATTAACCATTCAGTAAGATTACAACTTAATCCACTATCTGGAATATACCATAATTTGATCTAAAAGTAAAATGAATTCAAGATATAAAAATACTGATTACATAGTTAATGATTAGTTAACTCAAGTAATTAAAAAACCTATACAAAATGATATGCTAATATCAGAATAGATTTGAGAAATAAATGTTGAAAATCATGAAAATAAATGTTTATATAATTGAAGCTGTACAGAATACTTACAGTACAATCATCAGAACAAGAAGCAATTATGTTATCATTGAATGGGTTCCATTTTACATCTAGTACTGGACCTCTATGACCAGTAACTTTACTTGTGTTCAAATCCAAACGACCAGTCTAATAATAAATAAATATTGAAATTTAAAACATATTGTAAGTATTTAATGAAAATACACTGTAACTATTTGACATTTTTTAATAGAATAAAATATTTAAGTAATATTTAAACTTAGATTCTTGTGATATTTTATGTTTATAGTTTTGTAAATTTGATTTTTCAAATTTGAATTTCCATAAAAAAAAAATCAAGATAAATTCATAGTTAGAATTTTTCCTTTCAATACTTTAAAAATGTCAGTTTATTATAAGATAATGTAATATTAAGCAAATTTACCTTGGTAATTGGTAACACTAAAAAAGCACCTCCACCTGCAACTTCAGTTACAATAGCAACAAATTTTGGATTTGCTGCACAAAAATTTGAATCATGAGCATTTCTTGTTATTGGAACATTATCATAAATCTCATCTCTTCTTGACGGGGACCCATATACATGACGAAACTTAGAGCTTCGTACCCCACGAAAAAATGACTAAAAGAACATATACAGGTTTAATTAAAAAATTGATTGTTAAAATTTTTAATTAAAATTTAATGTATGTATAAAAATAATTTTATAAGCTCACCATACTGTTTGTCATTATAGTAACTTTCAATAAAAAGCTTCACAATTTTCATGCAGTCTAAGAAAAAATAATTCAAAAAAATTTAACTGAAAAAAAAAATTAAAAATCGTAACTATAATCTTGATATTAAAATAAATGTACTGAATTAAACCTCATACTATTCAATACAGTACACATCTAATTTAAACTAATTTATTTTATTTTATTTTAACTATGTAATTTTAAGGAAAGCCAAGCAACTTGTATAACATTAATAGTTTTCAGTGGTGCAACACACATCTATAGGTACATCATATTCTCATGAATAATTCAACACAATTATAATAATTAGATAGAAAAGTGTAGCTAAATTCCTTTCTCCAAATTCATAAGTACAGTTACTGTTTTACAGCTGAGCAGTTTTACATAAAATTTCTTAATTTAATTAAAATATCAAATAGTAGTCAAAAATAAGTTTTATGAACATTAAAGAAATTGTATTTTTTTTATTTGAAGATGGGATCAAAAAATATAAATTAATAAAATACTACAAAAAAATAACTCAGAACTAATTATTTTAACTACATGCATAAATTGAAAGACAAAGCATAAATTGCATGACCATTATTTCTGAATAAATATTTTTAAAGCTTTTAAATAATTCAACAAACCTGAATTTATATATATTACACAATCTATTTGTGTTTACAAAATTAAACTGAATTCTTTACCTTAATAACTGGTTTACTGCAAGCCCTGATGTCTACTAAAGCGTTTGATTTAAATATATCATCAAGTCTGTAGCCAATATGTTTATCTAATGTCCCCATTATTATTACAGTTAAACCTAAAGTGTTAATATATTTTTCATTTCATTGAAATTAATTTTTTAAACTTCTACAAACCAACAGTCACAATAAGTAGACTTAACTACTCAAACCTCATAAACACAAGAAAATGTAAGAGTAAATCGAAATGATTTTATTCGTATATACTTTTTTTATAGTTTTACTTAGAATAATTAAACACACACCAATTTAGTCAGGAATACTATTAGAGCATAAGAGACTTGCACACTTATATTATCAGAGTGGGTGAAGGAAGGGAATGAGTAGAAACATAACATAAGCATTCACAAGTGCAGAACAGATAAAGAAGTAAATATGGGCCCTGTTAAATGCCAATACGGGTGGTTTACAGTTTAACCACGGTAACAGACACAAGAAAGGGAAAACAATGACTACATAGGCATGATGAGATCGACAATTCACTACTGGCGCCTCTTCACATGTTGCGAGTCCATTATAAAATGGCTCTAACCTTTTATGACCATTAAGTTTGTCTATGATGCAGGGGTGGACTGGTCATGGTGGTAAGGTGGGAATTACCCACTGGGTCACTGTACAGAGCAATAAAGTTAGCTATGATGACCTTTTATTTTTTCTGATAATTTCTTATTATGAAGCGATATAAACTTTTTTGATTAGCTGGGCTGTTGGCCTCCCAGTGCGGCCTTGATAAATGTATGACATCATTTTTAACCATATACTTTTATTGATTGAACTACTCTTAATACTAGTTATTATACAAAAATTATAAACTAATTGAGACTTTACACTATACAGAATTAAAATTACAGTAAATCCTAAAAAAAATAGACCATCCTCGATAAAAAAAGTATAATATTCTTTACGAATTTTTAAAAATGAAATATGTATTTTCTATAAAATGTTTACTAAATTATAATAAACAAAATTGTACGTTAACTTGAGAGTCCTGGCAACTAGAAAAATTGTTGGAGATCTTAATAATTTAACCCGTTTAAAGAATATTATTTTTATGTACCATTACTTTTAGCTTCGGTGCAAAACTAAGAGGTTAAGTCCTTTCCCAAAGGTCTTGCATTTAGCTTTAATACTTTACCGGGAAACTGGTAAGATATTGCATTTGTGGCAGTGGCCTAATAGAGTAATGAGTAATAATTAATTATTATAAAAAATTATTTACAGTTTATACCAAAAACTAAAAACTATATATTCTATCTTTTTAAAGCTAACAGTGATAAATTAAATAATTAATAATTTATAAATCGCCCAATATTTTTAATAAATATATTACAAATGGCCAATTACAAATGTATACATTAAAGTATTTTTATTTACAAGTAACATCTTTAAGTGTCCATTAAAATATTACTATTTTATAATATTTTGATCTTAACAATCGAAGAAAGTTCAAATATATTCCTAAGCACAACTAAAATAACTTTTTTGGGGATGATTAATTAATTCCTCCCCACACTAAAAATGTTTTTAAATAACAGTAAAGGTGATGTTTAAAATTGTTAAAGATTCCATAGAAGCCTATAAGATGATTTAACAATTTTATTAAAATTTTTCAAATTTACAGATAACTCATTGGAGTAACTCATGTATGCTAATTTTTAATTTTAATTGGGTAGGTAAGACTACATCCAAAATAAAATAAACTATTTTATAACACATTTATTATTTATTTAAAAATGTAACAATTACATTTAATATGAATAAATACAAATCAGTTTCCTATTAAACATTTAAAATAATTTCACAAAAAAAAAAATGTCACATTGGACATACAATACTTTTCTATGATTGTATAAGTTTACATTAAAGTTCTATTATAATAATTTATTTACAAATATAAAATAATTAATGAATAAAAATTAGTAAGGTGGTGGCTGTAAACCATATGGATGGCTTTGTTGCTGTTGAGGATTTTGCATTTGTCTTTGCATAAGATGTTGCTGTTGCTGTTGCTGTTGCTGCTGTTGCATAGCCATAATATGACGAATACGCTGTTGACTCAATTGCTAAAATTTTTAAAAAAACATTGTACAGGTGTTTAAAAAAAAATTATTTAACACATACCTGTTGATATTGAGAGTTTTGTACCTGCTGGTTAGGAACAGTGGGGCGATTGTATGGAGGAGTAGGATTTTGAGGGCCTCCCATTGGATTCATAGGTACATTTTGGTTCTAAAAAAAATGTTTACATTTAGTACTAAGTATTCCTGACTTAATAGAAAATTTGTGTTTTTATTTCATCTTAGTTGCTTTAGGAATTAGTTATGCTATTTAGTTCCTAGGCATTAGTTAAAAAAAAAATGTTGATTCTAAAAATTCTACCTCTTTTTCTAGCTCTCTAAAATACAAGAAATAATCATTTTTTTATTAAATAATTTACATAATCGTTTTGTTGATCAAAAATCTTCAAAAATGGTTTCATACTACTTACAAATTCACATATAATATTCATTTAACGTTACTCGATAGGTATAATGTATATAGTGTTTAATAAATAATATGGACCCTGAATGTATTATCTTAATATAATTTTACAAAATACAAAAAAAAAAAAAGCAAAAATTTATGAATGTGAAGAAATGTATAAAATTTAACTCACTTGCATATAAGGTGGTCTCATTCCTGCTTGTTGTCCTACATAACCACCATAATTTTGATTCATACCTATTAAAAAAAAAAAAAAAAGATTAAAATAACCTAAACACAGTTTTAAACTAAAAAAATCATTACTTTGTTGCATATTAGAATACATTTGAGTTGGTTGTTGTTGTTGCGAATACATTTGATTAGAATTTTGTTGTTGTGGAGGAGGCTGTATCGGTACATTATGTTGACCTCTTCTAAAAATAACCAAATTGTAAAAAAATAAAACATAAAAAATAAGTTTTAAATTATAATTTACCTAATAAATTGCTGTCTTGGCATTGGTTGAAAATTAGGGTTCATATTAGGCTGTTGTGGAGTTTGACCCATGTATTGATTAGTAGGTAATCTCATTCGCAACATATGGCTCAGTGCTTGTTTGGATGTATTTACTGGTCTATCAAATCTTGAACCAGGACCTGGACCTTGAGTAGGAGGTACTTGCTGAGAATAAAAAGAAGGTCCTCCTTGTGACTGTTGTCCATAATTACCCCATTGAGGATTTTGTTGAGGAATTTGGGCAGGATTTGGGCCAGTATTTTGCTGCATTGGATAAATTCCTCCATTAGGACCTCCATAAGCCATGTGTTGATTTTGTTGTCCCTATTTAAATTTTATAATAATTACTGAAATTTCATGGGTGTGTGTTATTAATTTTACATTGAAAATTTACATATAAACACAGAAGTGTATTTTATCTTTAAATAGACACTAGGCCGCTTAAATATATACATATATTATTTAGAAAAATACTCTAAAAGAAAAGTATACATAAATTATTAAGTTATGATGTACCTTATTAGACAAAATATTAGGGTAGGTTTGATTAAGATTTCAAAAACTCTAATTAATTATATTTATAGTAATTTTTAGCTAATAATATTTTAAAAACTTGATTACTTTAAAAAAAATACAATTATATTTCAGACGTTAGTTTGGAAAACAAAAATATTTTTGATGAAGCATTAGCCATTTATTCATTATGTTATATTCTGTTATTAAGAGGTTAAAAAATACACATACCTGCATCTGTGGATGAATTTGACTTGGCCCCATTTGAGTATTTGGAGTTAATGGTGACATAGGAGGCGGTTGTTGTTGTTTTTTACGGCGCTGATTAGAAGGTCCTCCTTGAGCTTTCATACCTCGTTTTATACCTCTTCCTGGAGATTCAGGTACTGAAGATGGAGTATCTGGTCTTCCTGTTCCTGGGCCTATATTGATACCAGGCCCTACATTCTTAATCTGGTTACAATAAACACAAGGACACTACATTTTAAAAGTATATTCACTGTTCTTTAAGATTTCCCCAATTCAAAATGTTAACTTATAAACTCCCATATAATATAACATAAAACACTTTGGCGTAAATTAAATAATTATAAATAAATAAAATAAATTGGAATAAATATATTTACTAAATGAGCAATAACACCTAAAGAAAAATTATCATAAAAAAATTATTTTCAGAAAAAATACATACCGGTTTTTCTTGAGGAGGTTCAAGGTCTTCAGGTGGTAATGGTAAAGGTTCTAAGAAATATGATGAAGTTTTAACTAATGAATGTGTATGGAACTTGAGCATTCTATGATTTTCTTCATACCATAATGGTTTACGTTCCACACGTACAGCACTGAACCATGACCATGAAAGAGGAGCAGGATTTTTGTGACCTTCTAAAAGATCCCAAGAACTTACACGCTGTTTATCACATACTTTCAAACCTTGTTTATCATTAGCATCCATCCCAGATGATATTTTATTGCCTTTACCATCAGTACCAATTTGTTCGCAAGAAATAATTTCGCATTGTTGTTTCCCTAAAGGTAGAAGTTGTCTAACTTGGGAAATTGATGGAGAATATTTTTCTCCTACCTCCTTTAAAAAAAATTAGAAATTAATGTAAAATAAAAAGTTTTAATAATATATATATATATATATATAGATTTTCTATTAACTTTTTTTAATTTTTTCATTAAATTTTGATAATGTTTACGATTTTCTTCTCCTTTTTCAGTTTGAGAATCTGATACAAGAGTTGAATGTATTAATGTTGCTAGCATATCGATTATTGTACTAAATAACTTCCTATAATATAAAATAACAATATTATAATTAAAAAAGAACAAAGAATTAAAAATTTATTTCTTACGTATTATTAGTCAAATCAATAACAGAATATGTAACTAATTGAACTAATAAAACTGCCCAATCAGTTGTTAGAGTAGTATTACGTTGAATCGTATCAAACATGCCTCCAACAAGACTAAATCTTAGAGAAAGAGAGTTTTGTATGGCATTTACTTCTTTATTATTAGCACAACCTTCTTGAATTCCGAGGCGTTCCTAGGGTTTAACAAAAAGTAAAATACATTAAATATATTCAATAAATATAAAATGAATATTATAAAATTAATTTGAACGTTAATCCTTAGTAACTGGTAACTTTTAATTTTAAGTTGCACCTATCGTTATGAGCTTACAGATAGGTAACCAAACAAAAGTTTTTACAGCAATAAAAAAAACTATGTCCTCAGAGCAGATAGCAATGGAAAACCATTGCAATCAACTCTTTTCTTAGTATATACCAGTTCAACTTTAGTTGGCCAGTGTTAAATCAACTAATCTTCTTATTAAAAACCAAAAAAAATTTAACTTAGCATATAAAAAAAGAAGACTATTATCAAAATACTATAGTATTATCATAGTCGATTTCCATGGGTATTATATTGAATATTTTATTTCATTCGCTAAGTTTATATTGGATCATAGATTTTAAAATCTATTTAGTTTTTTATTCTATTCAATTATACATACCTCTTTAGATAAAATCAAATATTGAGATAACTGATTATGTAGAGAAGAAAGTAAATTTTCTTTTTGATCATCTTGTCCTTTTAAACAGCTAAGTACTAAAGATAAAAATGGCTGATGATATGCTAAAATAGCAGCAGTTGGAGTAACAGTAGTTAGATTTTGAGCAGGTCGAGGGTGTGGTGGAGTGCCTTTATTACTACTTCGGCTGCTACTTCCTCCTCCACTAACTCCATGAGTTGCTATAGGGGTAACATTTCCTGAATTTGTATTTCCAAGTCCAATCATATTTCCACTTTCTAGAACTTGACCTAAACAACAAATATAAATAATTTAATAATAGAAATTATTATTTGTTATATTGAATAAAACATTATAATAATACAGCGTTATTAGTTAGTAAAAAAGAATAAGCTAAAAGCTTTTTTTATATCAAGTTCTTTAATTACCAGCTACTTTCAACACTCTTCCTTGGACAGCACTAGGTAACTTTGAAATAAGAGGTGCTAATAACCACATTGAATGTGTTTTTTTTAAACACTCGCTTCTAAAAAATAAATTTCATAATATAAAGAAGTTATAATATCTTAAAAAATTTTAATGATGAATTTAATAAT